TGTCACCTTTTTAACAAAGATCTTGTATTTTGTTTTTCACAGTGAATCTATTTTTATACCCTTCAAAACAGTTCTGAAATTCAGGTTAGAAAAAAAAAAAAAGGGAACAAATGATTGACTATGGCTTTTAGTCCTCTAAATCTGTAATCTGTATGGCAGGGAGTACTTTTGCTACTAAGCATTCTACTTGTTTTAATACCATATGATGTACACTGACTTAGGATAATCATCAATCACAGATTTTTTTTTTTTTTTTTTGGACTGCATGCTATTCCCAAGGCATGAAAGTGAGAGGGCCGGATCAAGCAAGTGTCCCTACTACACAGATACTAATGCACAATTTCAGCCAGAGACCACCCTGTGCTATGATAAACCAGAAAAGATATTAATTTGAAAGTGATTTCATACGAGAATTGACTGATGTTGACCTTAATAAATTACTACTTATATACAACATGCATTAGTTCCTATGACATTAGCCTAAAACTCAAATATCTTCTTCCTACTTTGAAGGTGCTGGTGCCATGCATGTTCCTATGTAGAAGGAGGAAAACATCCATTATAGCTTTCCCTAAATTCTTTCTTGGAGCTGTTTTTTTGGCAAAGGCATACGTTAAAACTTATCTCACTTCAAAAGCGAAATGTTCCAACCATCAGATACAGAATTTATCTGCATATCTGTGAAGACTATGTTTTAAGGAAATTATCTTCAAAAAAGAGGCAAGCTATGCTTATTATGTTTAGTTGCAGTTAATATGCTCTAAAGTAGTTATAATAAAAAAAAAACTTTTGAGAAACTATAGGAGCCCATATATACACAATAAAAAGGCATCAGTACTGATTATGCCTAGCTAAAGTATATATAGATGTGTATAATGTGTACATACTATATACATTGAGGTTGATAGCTAGTTAAATTCACACTTGGCTTTATTCAGTGTTTGGTTGCCAGCTGCTTTTCTTTTGTACATTGTGATTAATTTCATTGTCACTAGATTTTATGTTTCTGAAAGAGTCTTTTTCTGAACCTAGTCAGAAACCAGGAAGGGAATTAGGAATCCAAGTTGTTGGAGCAGTCTCTATTGTAGTCTGATCTACTCACTCGAATTCTATGGTCAGATAAAGACCATGAAAGAAGAATAAAAATAATGACAGCATTCTTTTTTTTTTTTGCTTTTCAAATGAAACTCCTTACAATAGGGCTGCAGTTTTTGAAATATTTTATTTGTTCTGTATTAATGTACATTTCCAAGCTCTTAAACTTCTGAGAAAATGAATTAAAAGGGATATGCTTTCTTGATTGGTATGTGAGAAACCCCATGGAATGTGTAATACAAAAAGCTACATAGGCAAAATGTTTTATAAGCATGTTTAAAAGGGGAATCTATCAAGCCATTTCTATATGCTCCTGATTGCTGGCTTGTGTGCTGTGAAGAACAAAACTTCAACTCAAAATGCAAATCATACAGGAATCGTAAAAAGGCGCAACCCAACCCTGCTATCACAGTAATTAAGATTTTCAAAGTAAAATTATTTTCTTCTTTTTTTCCCTTCTCCCTCTTAAAAAAAAGAGAGAGAGAGAGAGAGAGGCAATTTAACGGGTCTAACAATTTTGGGATGCTTTTAGTTAAAGATGTTGCAGGTAAAATTTATGCCACATTTGTCAAAAAAAATCCCCTTTTTGGTACATATTATTATAAGTCCCTCCCTTAATTAAGCCTTCTGGGGTTTCAATGTGTTGATCTCATTTTAAACCAAGCTCAGCACAATTAGACACACTGAGGAGATGGGAGATAAGTGGTATACACAAAAACATTTCAGACACAAATGTTTCATCCTGCAAGGCCCCGATTTTCTCTTTTCCTTTTTAAAAATCTGGGCTTCCATAAAGAAAAGGAAACAAAATTGATTATTTTCAGCTTGTCATACATCTCATTTGGAGTGGGTCAGACCTCCCCATTCACAATTACCACTAGTTAATCTTATCAGAGAAAAATTCAATTACATTTATCAAGGTTATTCCATAGACTCAAGCTATTGCTTTTTTTTTAAGAAAAAAAATGGATTTTAGTGTTAAGAATGTTAGCATTGTGTGTTCCCTCAATTTTAAAATAAAAATAAAAAATAATTAAATCTTGCTTTTACACCCATATTATTAATGTAGAGTTGTAATAAAGTAATATTTGACAGCTTTGTAAAAAGGATTATTAATACATAGATTATGGAAGTTTAGGAGGGTGGCTCATAACTGTTAATAGACTTCAATTCTCAGCCTACACTGACATTTTAAAAAATCTAGTTTCAAATTTGATAACAGATTACCAGCTAGGCTGGAAGCCAACCACCTGATTAAGGCAATTTAAATGCTTGCAAAGTGGTGAGATTAAAATCAAATAAGTGCCGATTTTTTTTTCCTGCTTCACTTATCTTTCCCTGGATTCGTTCCTTAACTACCAGGTGGTGGAGGACTCTGGGTAATTTTCCTCTGCGCCAATTACCCCAGGATGGTTTTTAGGGTGAAGCAGAATAATTACTGCACTATCAATCCAAAATGGGCTGCTTAATGTGTTTAAGAGAGATTTTGAGCCTTAGCAGGGAGGCTGCCTGAAGCGTGCTCTGCTCACGGTGCCAAAGCCCACTCGGCCTAGTCGGATAGTTAACCGTTCAGTGAGAAGGCAGCACACACCCAAGGTGAAAGAAAACAAGGAAAACTCCTGGGAAGCTGTGGGAAAGTTAATGAGCTGCTTCCAACGTGTGGCAGGCTGCAGTCGCAGGTGGCTGACAAAGCTAGGCAGGTTAAGAAAATAATATTTATCATCCAGCTGCCAGGACTGTCTTTATCAAAACTCTTTCTAAAATCCATACAAGAAGAAGAAAAACGGGCTTGAAAAAAAAAATTTTTTTTTTGAAGAGAAACAAAAACAAAAAGCCCCAAGCAGCTGTGATTCAAATTCTCTATCCTTGCTGATGGGTTGGAAAGGAAGCAGGAGATAGCGATTGAATCTGACAGCAATTTTTTAAACATTTTCCTGCAAATAAAATGAAAAATAACAAACAACCAAAGCAGATTATTTATTTAAAAATTAAAATTAAGCCGCAACTTTGAAATGACACTGCTAAATTCTATTTTGTAGCAACCTCAAATTAAGTAACATGTTCCATCTGTTGAGCTTGCTCTGAATTTCCTTAATTATCATTATTTAATGTAAATTTTGTGTTTTAGCCAGTTTGTCCAAAGAAGCACAATGCTAATTTAAAAATAAAAATAAATCATTATCTGTAAGGGGATTGCTGCTGTTTTCTTCATTTAGTTGTTTCTTTATATCAGTCTTTAAATGATCTGTGCCTTCCCTGTGTTCAGTGTGGTGAGGGTTTATTTCTCTTTATTATTTAATCAAAGACTGATTTATGATTTAGCTTAACAGATGGTTTGTGATAATGTGAGTCAAAGTGTTTTATTTTGGAGAAATTCAGCATTTGAAATTGTGGGGTGTGTGTGTGTGTGTGTATGTGCGTGCGTGCATGTGTCTGAAAGCGTTTCTGTTTTCAGTGGCTCTGCATTCCTATCTTTGTGTGTATCTGGAAGTCAGAGCTTCTGAATGCGGACCCCAATAGGGCAGTATTCCATATGAAACTGATTTATCGACGCAATCATTCCTGGCTCCTTACCTTGGTAATCGGTTTCATCTGCAAGGGGAAAAAAAGAATAAATGAGAATCAAGGGAAATGCATGCTGTCCTGTGTTCTAAGTGCACATGTTAAACTACATGTTGGAAAGACTATCATGAACTTTATATTGGTAGGAAATGAACTCCTATCCGTTTTGACAGATGCTCTGGTTCATACAGAGAAGTATTTTGTAAGGCTCACACACAATCCATTGAAGATTATCACATTAAACCATATTTACTTCAGAGGTCTGTAATAATTACATATGCACTTGAAAATCCCCAGGACTTTGTCTGCTGTGTCACAGATTTATACTCAAACATTTTCATTTGATGTGCAAAGTGAGAAGTACTCTTTAGTGGCAAGACAATTATCTGATTCTACTAATAAATGACTGCACAAGTAGTCATTTTTAATTGAACAATTATAGGATATTGCACTGTCAGTTGATTATAGAAGTCATTTCATAAATGTCAAAAATCTCTTTAAATGAATTATGAAGCTCCAAAATAACTCCGGCAATCAGCCAGCAATAACACAATAATCTGTTTACCCTGTTGTCAGCTGAACTCTTACCATTTCGTTGAGGGGAAGAGGCTAAGAGGAAAAGCAGAGCACAGTGTAGGGAGCCCTTTTTTAAGGATTATGCTTAGCTTGAGCTGAAGCAACCACCTAAGCTTTGATTAGCGCAGATTTTGAGTGTTCTCAAGAGCTTGGCTATGTATAAAATGTATTACTAAATCAAAATCCTCCTGTGAAGACAGACATTACACACATATATGTGTCTGCTATACATTGAATATTCTCAAGATAAGTTGTTCCTTGAGTCCTGTGATAGAAATTGGGGGTCTGAACCAATGATTACCAGGACTCTGCCCTTCCCAGCCCTTGGACTTGGCTCACTCGCCACTTCAGTCCTTTCTTCCAATCATACTAAGTTGAATCTTGTAACTATTTCTTTAACATCCATCAAATTTTATTTTTAAAACACACCCAGAGGAAGTGTCATTCTTCATATCACATAACAGCTAAAATGCTGCCCTGCTGTTTTTAGTTTCTCCTACTTTGCTATTGGCATGGAATAAGTGTGGACGCAAATCTAGATATACTAATATTACATTTTCAGCTGGTAAGAGTGAAACCGGAGATTAATTTTCACTTAAAGAGCAGTTGGATTGATAACAGAATAAAAGTTTCTAAGATTTAATAGGCAGTTTTATCATAAAATATTTTTATTTAACATGGCATACATATCCTTACAAAATATATTCTAATTTTTGAAATCAGGTTTTTGTTATTTAATACACAATTTTTGATATGGCATATTTCATATTTATTGCTTTCCACTTAATAGCACTCTTTAATATATTAACCATGCATGTATTTTTCTATTGTTTTCCAACAAAGTGAGTTAGATGCAAAAAATGTCAATGTTTGTTTTCAGATAAAAATATCATTTATAAATTTCTTTGTGGGATAAGTCTTTATAATATGAGAAATAAAACTGTGATTTGCTATTTCATCAGTTTGGGATTATTTAGTTTAAGTTCTTTTGAGTGGAATCCACTCACTAATTTTACCTCAGAGCAATTAGAGTAATCTTAATTTTGCTTTCCCTCACTTAACATATATGGAAGGCACAAGGTAATGCCTCCTTTGTTGTTTTCAGATAGTACATTGATCAGTGGATGGTAATACAGCAGACAAATTTCTTAATCTCTAAATATTCCTTTGAGTTGCCTTCCTTAGCAGGTCTTTTATGCTGTGTATTCCCAAATCTGTAAAAGAACCAAAAAGATTCTATCATAAACCAACTGATAATACATAAAGAAAACACTAAGAGCCGAGAATGGAAAATTACTCAGAAACCTATAAAACTTGTCTACAATACTTACGGATAGGATTGGATGACATCCTTATTTCTGAGAAGACTAGATCAGACCACCTGTGGTCCTTATCACATTTACTGCTGGCAGTGTAAGCAGAGAAAACTCAAAGGAGCAAAGAAAAACCTCTGTAAGGCCTATATGTTGTCTTGAGAGAGCTGAAGGAAGAAGAGAAAAACAAAAAACATGTAGTGTACGGTAGTTAGAACTGATTCAAAACTGAATGGCTTTGCTAGTGACAAGGGTCATGACCTTAGATGACATGTTACTCATCTGACCTGTTCTTACATTTTATCCAATGTTATATAAAATGACTATTGCCTCTGAGACACCTTTTGAAATTGGTTGCTTCAATAGTTCTTGCAAGGTTTATACAAACTTAGATGAAAAACATCACACCTAAAGTATATTCCTATTTACCCATAATAAAAGAGGGATATTCTACTAACTGTTACAATACCACATCATTTTTCTCCATTTTCAAAGAAATAAAATATATTAATATGGGATTTTATTGAATCTGAAAACATCATTGTTAGATATACTATTACTTTATATATCCCTAAGAATGGAAAAAGGCTGCTACTTAATCACATCAGTTGTACCATATCTCAAATAAAAGATGTTACGATCTGAAAAATTGTAGCCCTTTGTTTCCCTGAAATGAGATAGCATAAAAATTACATAAAATATTGATGATATAAAAGTCATTTAAGTCTTTGGGAATGCATTAAAGTCAACATTATCACCAGAAAAATTTCAAAATTGAGCACAAAATGAAGTTTATATACATTTTTGTAATAAGTAATAACTTTGCAAATAAACTTTGATATTCTCTAAATTATGTTTCTGGTCTCAAATTATAAACTCTATTTTCCCTTACTGCCATTGGGCAACTAAACATTACAAACACACACATACTTATGCAAACAGACTTATATATACTTATATACCTATAAGTATATAATATAAATATATATAAATGCAAATATATATACTTTGCCACAGATTTTTAAACTAAAATTGAATGAAACAAACCAAGAGTTAATACTTAGCTTAATAAATCTTTATTGATAAATAATTTGCAGAAATAAGAATAGAAAGTTATTGGCACACATAGTAATTAGAAGACAAAATTGAAACAAGTGAATTTCTAATATAAATAATATTTGTCTGATTTTCTTCTTTACAAGATTTCTTTTCTTTGGTATTTTCCCCCTCCATCTCCACCTCCTCTCATATAGTACTCTCAAATAGGGACCAAATTTATGCTTATTTATGTCACTATTATATTTCTAGACATGCCAATGAAGGAAGAAACATTTTAAGGCCTGGAATGTAATAATAAAAATGTTTAAAAATAAGTAAAATCACATAGAGTGTTTCCTTACAGTTTTGGCATTAAAATATCATTTGGGGATTCAGGAAACAGACTGATGCAATCAAATGGTTACTATCTAACCCTTTCCCTAATCTTTTAAGGGCTGAAGAAAATGTATATATAGAAAAAGTTATTAAGAAGAAATAGCTAGGATAGATGGGATTTTCAAGCATTTGTAAGGAGCTAAAATGCAATGAATTGTGTATTATAGGCAATGTTTGGAGAGCCTTCTGCATTATTTAAAGCTACCATAAAATATTTTCTCTCTAAAAGCCCATTTTTCAATATATTAGTCATAAAATTGAAGAATAATTAAGACGATTGGGCTGGTTGGTTTTCAACTTTTGAATGTTTAGAAACTCAGGTGTACCATAGTCTGTCTTTCCAAGACATTTTAAAAGGGAACAATGAAAACGCAAAAACAAACACAAAGAGAAGATTTGATACATTCAAAGAACGGGTCCAAACTGGGAAATGAGTAGGCTTTGCCTTTCTTTACTTTCCGTCTTCACTTTTTATGACCTTCTTCCCAGATTTTCTGTTCTCTGTTCCCTTTCTCTGGCCGTGCCGGGCTCTCTGTTTTGGGGTGATGCCACCTTTGTCTCATCTCGTGGTACCTCCTGTTCTTCACTATTTTTCCCATTATGTATCATACTCTGTGTCCTAGATCCTGTGTTTTTTTAAAGCTTTCATTAAATGATTAAAGACTATTAGTAAAATAATTTAAGAAAATATATGAGTATGAATTAATATGTTACTCTTACAACGAGTTTAGCATTTTGACAGGGGATCTAAGAGACTATGTGTTTTATCTCAAACAGGGACAAACAAGTGGTTGGATAACTGTGTCCTCAAACCAATCCCATAATATTTATCAATCTATAAAGAAATTTCCTTATTCTAGTTTCTACCATAAGTACCATTTTAGGATTTCCACTTTTCTCCTGCACATTTTCATGGGTCATCTTGAGTGCCTTGGCATTTCAAGTTTAACATATTCATAAATAAGCTCATGCATTCTCTTGCTCCCAAAATCTTTTCCTCCTTTTGTGGATGATTAATTTCTTAATTAAGGGAACTGTTGCCTGCTCTGTCAGCTTTGTCCTCTACTCACTCTCCTCCAGCTCCCACTCACTTTTGGCTAAGTCTTGTAGAATTGTCTTGGAATTATATCTTGAGTCTGGCTCCTTCAATCTGCTGCCACTGCTGCTGACTTCATAGAGGCAAGGAATTTCTCTTAATAGATTATTGTACATATCTTCTAAATTTTGCCTATAACAAGTTTTTCCCTCACTGTCTGATGGACTAATATCCTTTAATCTGTCACTGTATATACCTTTTATAAATACCAATCTTATATATCGCCCTTGTTTGTAAATTAGGCTTCTCATTATTTTTATTATGAAGTCTAATTATTGAAGCATGGAGTTAAAAACAAAACAAAACAAAGTGCTCATATCCAGACTTAAACACAAATAAAAAGTGATCGCCGACTGGATTTTGCAATGAGGTAGTTGTTAGTGACCTTAGAGCAGTAAGTTTCAATAAAGAATGAGACAAGTTAGCTGACTAGAGACATCAGCTGCCAGATTGTAACAGAAAGAAGGAAAAGTTTTAGATGAAAAAGAAAAATAAACCAAACAAACATAGATCAGGTTTAATTCTGAGGGAAAGTCCCAGAACCTACCAAAGATTCCATGGGAAGAAGTTGTGGAACAGAAAAAGAAGGAAGATAGATCAGTGAGATCAACCCCAAGAGCTGTGAGCCTGTTAAAAGGTAGGATGGGGTGCCGTTTTCCTCCATCACATCTCGAGTTACCAGCAGCTCCCTAGACTGAAAGCCTTTCTACCCTCATAATCCAAGCAGCTCCCCAGCTGACTTTGAGGACAAACACCAGGCCGCAAGGTCCCTTGGAGTCACTTTCTCATCACCACAGCCCAAACCAAGATGGCGGACACCATACTGTCTCCATGCTTGGTGCTTTGTCCTGCCTAAGGTTCATGCTCATTTGTCTCAACACAAACATTTCTCAGCTCCGCCTAGACTGTGAGCCACAGGAGCCAGTGACTGATTCTGTGACCCCAGAGCCTGGACATCTTGAGTGGCATGCCTTCTGAAGAAGGGACAAGAAACCAAGTGCCACTTTCTCCATCTAGACCTTCCTTCCTGCCCCTCCTCCATGATGCCAATAGAATTGTGAGCTGGGTCCTCAGAATGCCTGCCTCTCTCATTGTTGAATACACCAATACTTACGCTGCTCAAAGAGAGGGCTCAAAATTTCTTCTAAAACACCTGCACAGACTAACGATATTCAGACTGTGATCTCCCTGTTCACGCAGCCCTCCCCTTTTATTTGCTCTGCCTTGTCTCTCCAGAGCAGGTACATAACCCCCATAGTGGGGGGAGGACATCAAACTGCCGAGCACTCCATTGCAATTGCAATCATTACACTTCTCTCATGCATAATCAGGATTGATTTGAAGCCCACCTGGCCCACAGGCCAAATCCGTTAGCTCCAGGACTCCATTGTTGCTTGCAGGACGAGGAGATTGTGAACTTAATCTTGGAGTTGAGACGCATCATGCAGAACTGCAAACGAAGAGCGCAGTGTGGATCACAGCGCATCATACCATGAGCCATTCCCCCCAGAAAGACCATGCTTTCATCACAAACCATGATCCTGGACAGGAAACTTCCCCACCTCACAGCACAATGTGAAAATTTCAGCTGGTTTGAGCTTCTGCCTCAGGCAATCTCGAAGGAACCGCAGAGCAGGAGATGGGGAAAGAAAAAACTGTCTACGCAAAATGGTGCATCTCAGACTGCCACATACCATAAGCAGATTTCCTGCGCTTGGTGGGTCCATCAAGTGCCTCACTGTGCTCCCCAACAGATTGGGAATAAACTTTGACCCTGCCAAGGGACAGCTCACCTTATGGCTTTGTGGAACCTGAGGGCAGCTACCCAACCCAGCTCCACCCAGCCTAACTCTCCTCACTGCCTGCATGTATGGAGAATCAGACTACTTGGAATCAGGGCCTTACCAACCCACGCTGGCTTCAGTGCTTATCGCTTCAGGCTAGAGCCATGAGTCCAAAACAACACTGCACCTGGTTCTTCATCAAGCAACCACCCCACCGGCAGGAGGTAATTTGTACAGCCATTACGCATTACTAGTCAGTCATACAGTGTGGTTGATCTTACCTGTAACTACCACCTACTGTCCAGAGCGTTGAAATGGTGCACCAATATTCATTAAGTGTAAGAAGTCCAGTGGCTGGGGAAAGAAAGGATCTCAAAGACCTGCATCTCTCTCTATCAACAAAGTAATAGAGAACCCACACACATAGCCACCACTACTATAGACCAGCAAACAACTATAACAAGACACCACCACTGAGATACCTATAACCAAGGCTCCATAGAGAACAGATGCATCAACCACCCACAACACAAAGCCAAAGGTGTACCCAACATAACCTACAGATACACCTTACAAGTGAAGGTGAAAGTCCCCTCTAAACAAAGAAATCATGAAAAAGAAGCAACTAGCTTCAGATGAAGAAGTCAGTGCACAGATCTCCCAGAAGATGAAAAACAGAGGGAAAGACACCTCAAAGCGCACACCTGTTCCCTAGCAAAGGATCCAACAAAAATAAAAATAGACAACGACAGATAAGATTCCAAAATGTTAAGGAAACTCAATGAAATCCAATATAAATAATGGAAACCAACTCAAAACCAGAACCATCAGAAAAAGAAAAATTCAAAATGAG